GTAATATCAAGAAGGGCTAGACCTTAAAGTGCACAGAGACTAATCGGTGCAAGACTATGTTATGAAGAAATTAGTTTTTCTTACGATTATTAAGCAAACATTACACTTATTCCCACCATTGCCAATACAACTGCCCCACGAGGCAAGGGAAAATTGTTGCATTAGTGGGGTATCACATTCAAAAGGTACTCACTTGTTCGTGAATTTCGTAGGGGTGAGCGTAATTGGGCCAGATCAATGACTCAATTGAATTAAATGCGATTTGGGTAAAATAAGCTGATCTAATTGGTTTATTAGGTCTATTGGTTCAAAAAATTTAGTTTAATTAGTTTTTGATTAGATTTCGATTTTACAATTTTTAGATCGAACAAATCAAAAGACCAAACTAGTATTTTCTATATATATGTATAGTAATATACATAATATTTTATATTATTTTTAAATTTATATAAAATATATATTTTCATTACTAATTTTTATTTCATATTTTATAATTATGGATGAAGTTTATTAAATTTAATATTATAATTTGTAGAAAAAAGATAAAATTTTAATCTTTTTGATTTAAATTCAAACTGATTTAACTAATTATATGTTTGAACGGGTGTCATCGATTTTTTAAAAATATTTATCCATTTGGTCTTTAGGTATGACGGATCAAACCAATCAAATAGTCCAATTACTCACCCTTACAATTTGACATCAAAGCTCTTGAATTTGGTCAAAACGCAACCAATTTGTATTGAAAAAGATTTCTCAAAAACCATGCAAATATATAGATGTTCAAGGACAATTTTTGGACCTAATTCCACTTGGTTCTAGTAGATGATCTTGTGATATATTGTTATTTAATACATTAGTTTTTTAAAGTTGACAACTATCAAAGCCTCTCTTATACCTAATGGATATGTTGCGCCTTCTTTTGATGCTAATAATGAAGGCCTGTAATAGGTATTTTTACTCTTAAGAAATTTCATATGCGAAGGGCGTAAAGATAGTACAAAAGCAAATAATGTTAATTACAAATCAATATCTTTCAAGCTTTAATTAAGAGAACCCTTAACTTTTGAGTAACACCTCATTATTTGCTTAAATTGGCCTATATATATGTCTACAATGTAGAGATTGATTTTCAATCAAACTGTGCCATGCATTTAGTTAATCGATAATTTAGCAACAAAATTTGTCGATGGTAAATGATCGATAATTTGATGGCGTGCAATAAATAAGAAAGGTACAAAGATTGCCGACCAACCGCTTTCGTCGGTATTTACTAACATCGATGGAAACTATTGATGGAATTTTCGATGGATAAATCAGTCAATAATGCAATGATGCTATCAACGGAAGCTTTGTTGGTTTTATTCTTTTAGAATTTGCTGAGTTTACCAATTGTTTTCGTCAGCAATAACATTTTTAATATTGACAGAGAATTCATCAATATGTTAAAATAGAGGGAGCACGATCGGGCTCTTCCCTCCATTTTGCCCTATCTACTTTTCTCTTTTTTTTTTGTC